AGTAATACGCTTAAATTCATAATATCGAGGTACCAACGAGGAAACACCACCAGGACAATTACCATGAAATCATTTATAGAAAACGAACATATTATATATATATATATATATATATATATATATATATATATATATATATATATATATATATATATATATATATATATATATATATAAATATATAAAACCCAAAAATGTAAAAGAACGAAGAGTAAGATTTCAGCGTTCAAAACATTAATTTAAAACATAGCTCAATACAAAAGTAAGCCATAAATATTTATTTATTATGCAGTGTTACATCACGATGCAACTAAAATATTTTATTCGGAATAAAATATTTTAGTAGCATTGTGATTTCCCACCTGATGAAAAGTTAAAAAAATTTAGCGTTGAAACAAGATGTACAGTTTTGTAGTGGGTGTGTGCATGTTCTAACGTAATACTGCATATATATATATATATATATATATATACATATATATATATAAAACCGTATGTATGGGCGTACAAGGCTGTTTTTTACCTTCAATAACCCCCCAAAACTGGGAGCCGTCTTATACTCCAGGTATAGAATGTGAAGCACAAATCCTGTGGTTAATTTTATGGTAAGTTGTTAGCATGGGATGTTTTTTACGTTAGACTAACTCCTGTCGTGATTTCCCATGATTTCTCTCGAACGTTCATGTCTGCTCGAAGCGTATAAACAGAAAATAGATTGAAATAATTGTTGAACTTAATCCATTTCCTAATATATGATGTCCATTGTTTGCGCTATGATACGCTTCGATCAGATATGAATAATCTACTATGCTATCGGCTCTGACCTGGCACCTCGGCTTTAGTCAATTCCCACGTCGCCGTAATGTAGCTTCCCTCTGCCTTTTCTATAGATATTTTCATGGTAATTGTTCTGATGAGCTCTCCTCTTTGATACCTCGACAAATTTAAGTGCAGTACTAGATCGGCAGGTAGGTTTCATCATTTTACAGTTGAAATGGATAAAAGTAACGGTCACATTTCTCGCTTCTGAAACTATCTCCCGGCCTCTTTCTTTCCAGACAAATTTGATCTTCAAAATTTTAAATGCAATGTCAATCATTATCTTTGTTGTTTTGTTTTTTTTTCCTTATAAAATCAAAAACTTGAAGACGAAATAATTGTTTGTCGACCAATATTGTACACAACCATCAATAATAGCACATACTCAAAAAAACATCTTTCGGTTGACAAACAATTATTTCGTCTTCAAGTTTTTGATGTTATAAGGAAAACATATGCCTGACGATGAATAAAGGATTATTCGAAAGTACTTGCATTTTAGAAAAATATAAACTGGAAACAACAGACAACAGTTTTATGAATGAGGATCACATCATTCTATAGATTAACAGTATTTTAATGCATACATTATACACTACTAGCGATGGATGTCACCAATAATAGCATTAATATTGCTGATTGATTCTATGTGTGATTATTTCTTTGTATATAAATTATATACTGCCTAATGTTATATATATATATATATATATATATATATATATATATATATATATATATATATTAAAAAAGAAAAGAGAAGCCGCAAAGGTTTTTGGGTTATAATGTGGTTGTTTTTTTTATTTATTTAATTATTTTAAAATATATATTAAACTTTATTTTTATATTTTGTGCTACACGGGTTTCAGGTCTTGTGACAGGCGAAGAATTTTTTTTAAAGGAATTTTTTTCTTTATGTTTTCTATGCGCACACACACACACACACACACACACGAACCTTACACAACATACAAAGTGTATGTTTATATATGCTGTTTCCTTGTAATAAAACAAAAAATATATGTGGAGAAGGAATGTGTATATACACATATGCAAAAATGTCTGGATAATGCCTTGTTTGTTAGTTTAGCCACGATGAATTTAAGTCCAGGCTCTTACATTATATCACCATTGTTGGTAGACTGTCTCTTGTCATAATATGGGATAATCAAGGAAAAGGTATTAAGAAAAAGAAGACACATGGATTTAGCTATATTGAAAAAAAAATTTTCAAAAATATTCATTCTAAAATATTCTTTTAAAAAATTTTGAAATTACCTGCGTCTCTGGTTTCGTGAGCATGTGTAGATGTGGCCAGGTCAAAAAAGGCCAGTCCGAAGAAATCCTAAGGGATAAAATACGTCAGTAAAAATTTTCTAATTTATCATATTTTTCTAAATAGACATACTAACAAAAACGCACATTTATTTATTTAATAAATAAATAGATACTTCTTTTATTACCCTTTAAGCAGAGGAACATTTTCTCCAGCAATCCAAGAAGAATTTGGGTTACTAACATACACAAAAGACAATGGTTAAACATTAAAAAAAAAATAATTTCTTTAAATATGTGGAAATAACAATTCTTCGCTTGACAACTCTCACAAGACATGAAACACGTATAGCAAAAAAGTTGGAAAATAAAGTATAATATATATCGTAAATAAAAGAATCCACATTATAACCAAAAACATTTACGGCTTCTCTTTAAAATATACACCTACTCCTCTCTCCCACTGTTTCTCTCTCTCTCTCTCTCTCTCTATATATATATATATATATATATATATATATATATATATATATATATATATATATATATATATATATATATATATATATATATATATATATATGCTTCTGACGAGAGCTTGAAGGCAGAATGTCTGACTGATGCCAAATCAGTCGGGTTTCGATCGGATATCTAACCACACCGATGAGCTGTGATACTGCGAAACAGTTTGTGGATGACTATATATATATATATATATATATATATATATATATATATATATATATATATATATATATGTGTGTGTGTGTGTGTGTGTGCATTTAGACAGCACATTCAGTTTTAGAACATGTCGGACGAATAATTTACAAACATTATGTTTATTTATTTTTATCATAATCCTTTCATATTCACGAATATTTTTTCCGTATAAGGCAAGAAATTTCTTGACTTATTCAATTGTAATATACAGAAAAATATTCTTGAATATGAAAGGATTATGATAAAATTAAGCAGACATAATGTTTGTAATTTATTCAATCAGATATAGATATATATATATATATATATATAATTAATAAGAAATAACGTTAGTATAATATTGCTGAATATAACCGTAAGTTCTATGCTAACAATTTCTTCTCTTGCACTTCTCGCTTTGGGAAGTCTCTTCCGGTTTCTTATTTTTAAGTCAACTTTGATCTTCAAAAATTTAAATGCAATGTCGACCGACATCTCTCTTTTTGAATTTCTCTTCATTTATTTTTCCCTCTCTTGAATGGAGTTTTGTTCTTTTATCTCCTATTCTTTTACACTTTTGCGTCCTAGTGGCTTTACTGACTTGCAATTTTCTTCATCGTAACCTTTTCCTATTTATTCCCTTTTCTGCTAGCGTCGTTTAAGTCCTTCTCTTGTTCCCTACACCGTAGCCTCCAGCGATTATTATTTATAGTTTTGCTTTCAAATCTTTGTATAAAAGTCACTAACCATGCACGTCTTTCTTTAAGTTGACAAACAAACCTGTTTGTATGAGAAAGAAACACTTATTCAGCCTCGTCATTGAAAAGAAAAAGATGTGAATAGGCTTGCGCATGCGCCGAACGTAAAAACAAAGACCAACTGGAGAGCTGAATCCCGCCTATGTCAATCTATCTTCGAAAGAGATGACAAGAAATGTCCCTTCAGGCTGCAACTGAGGGTCGGAGATCCGGTTAATATGGCTAGGCTGTGTCTCAAAAAAAGTATAGTCGAAAAAAAAATTAATGAGGGCTGGTAATCAAAAGGCTACGCAAGATGAGTGTGGGACAAAGAGAATAAGGGTTCAAGAATTGAGAAGAAAAGAAGGAAAGGTAATATTTCTTTCGTGGAAACATGATTGTTTACAAATATATATTGGTTATTTGGTTTGAAAATAATGTGAACCTTCAATCAACTTAGTTTGTATATGTTAGCCGACCAACCATGAGAAATATTATTGAAAGATACAAGCTTGTTTGTGTCTTGTGGAGTGTTATCGTTTTGACCATTAAGCGAACTTTGATTAAACGAAACTTAAGACAAGAGAAGAGAGAAGACAAGAATTAGCAAAGCCAAAGTAAAGCATGCTTATTAGATAGATAGATAGATAGATAGATAGATAGATAGATAGATATGATCATATATATATATATATATATATATATATAGATAGATAGATAGATAGATAGATAGATATGATATATATATATATATATATATATAGATAGATGATAGATAGATAGATAGATATGATCATATATATATATATATATATATATATATAGATAGATAGAATAGATAGATATGATCATATATATATATATATATATATATATAGATAGATAGATAGATAGATAGATAGATAGATAGATAGATATGATCATATATATATATATATATATATATATAGATAGATAGATAGATAGATAGATAGATATGATCATATATATATATATATATATATATATATATAGATAGATAGATAGATAGATAGATAGATAGATATATATATATATATATATATAGATAGATAGATAGATAGATAGATAGATAGATAGATAGATAGATAATGAACAACTGAGATTGATAGATATTAACAGATTATTAGATGGATCATGGATAGATATGAATAGATTACTAAGATAGATTGATGGATAGATATGAATAGATTTCTGAGATAGATAGATAGATAGATAGATAGATAGATAGATAGATAGATAGATAGATAGATAGATATGATCATAGATAGATAGATAGATAATGAACAACTAAGATTGATAGATATGAAGAGATTACTGAGATAGATTGATGGATAGATATGAACAGATTACTGAGATAGATAGATAGATAGATAGATAGATAGATAGATAGATAGATAGATAGATAGATAGATAGATAATGAACAACTAAGATTGATAGATATGAACAGATTACTGAGATAGATAGATAGATAGATAGATAGATAGATAGATAGATATGATCAGATTTATATATATATATATATATATATATATATATAGATAGATAGATAGATAGATAGATAGATAGATAGATAATGAACAAATGAGATTGATAGATATTAACAGATTATTAGATAGATTGATGGATAGATATGAATAGATTTCTGAGATAGATAGATAGATAGATAGATAGATAGATAGATAGATAGATAGATAATGAACAACTAAGATTGATAGATATGAACAGATTACTGAGATAGATAGATAGATAGATATGAACAGATATATATATATATAGAGAGAGAGAGAGAGATAGATAGATAGATAGATAGATAGATAGATAGATAGATAGATAGATAGACAGATAGATCTAAACTGTGTGAAAATTGGCCAACATTTAAAACATACTTTTAAAAAATAAGTAAAAATATTTGTGTATGATATGCAAATTTGAGGCCTTGCATCGCCTAATTTTTTCTCAACTCGCCCTCCCTCAAACGGACACTTCTACCCAGCTCGTCTCCTTCATTATATTATTTACTCAAGTGATATTATTATTATTATTATTATTATTATTATTATTATTATTATTATTAATGTAAAAGTAATTTTCGGAACAAAGTACTGGTGGTCCAACATACCTAAATATGCCTCAATACTTTTCTCTCATTAACCAACTAGAAACTACAAAAGAAAGGGTCATAACTTCAAGGAAATACCTGTAATGGTAAACCACTAATTTTGCGAACATAAAATAAGAATTGCAGAGAATTTTCTCCCATATACGAACCGGCCAAAGTGGAACGACTAGTGAAGTGCGGATGTGTTTAAAATGTAATTTCTAACATTTTTCGCCTGTACTGCTCTTTTCCTTTATATCACGGATAGTATTTTCTGTTATATCTATTGGGCATTTGTAAAGTTTTGTAATATACTTTCGGCTTTCTTTAAAGCATTGAATTAAGTTAAAAAAAATTCTTTTGAACATGTCTTGCTGAAATGAAGTTCGTATCACATGCCCTCGAGTTTTTGTTTGTTTTTTGGGGTTTTTTTTTTGGGGGGGGGGTTTGTCGTTTGTTGCGCCAAATATGTCTGTTTCTGACCACTTAGAATTCATTTCTTTTTAATTTTCAGTGCATACGAGGTATAATCAAAAAGTATTGGGGCTGTTGCTATGGTAATGAAGCTAAATTACGCAGAATGAAGCCGCTGAGCACAGACTGACCTTGAACTCTATCGCATGTGCACACTCAGATATAGCGTTATTGCTCACCTCCACTGTTTTAAAAAGTGCTTGGAAGGAAAGTGTGTAGCGTGTGGTCGTCTCACCATGCCAGAAAATTTCCATCTGTGACCATGGTTTATGCCGCAGTTTTTGGCCACCTACAACATTCTCCATGTCCGGCAACAACTATATTTTCAAGATCTCGCCCCTTGCGAATTTTTTTTATCTTTCCAAAAATCGAACCCGCTTGACGGGAACACAATTTGAAGACTTCAAAGAAATCCAAGAGAAGGCAATGAGGCAGCTTCTCGCTGTCCCCAAAAAGGAATTCGGGAATGTTTACATCGATGGAAACGACACTTGATAAATTGTGTGGCTTCAGAAGGGGACTACTTCGAAGGAGATTAAATTCCGAATTGATATGTATTGTAGTTTTCTCTTTATAGCACCAGTCGCGATAGTTTTTGATCAGCCCTATTGTCTCCAATGAAAATCATTTACAACGCCTTTACGTTATACATATAATCCTCCTAATCTGTTTTTAACGGTATTATCAATATCTGAGCATTGATATTTTTCCTGGTGTCAAGAAGCAATTTTTACAGAGTGCTGAAACTTGTTAGAATAAATTTCAAGCACCTTTATGTTGTAATCAACTTGAAAGAAATACTTTATTTGTCATTAAAATGAATAATTAAAATAAAGCAGAATATCAGTAAAAATAAGTTATAAAATATAAGAAAAATTACCCAGAATTTGAACTCGATTCGCCGAATCTATTTTCCGCGCTATTAGCATTTACGTCACCCACATATCAAATTAAATAATAATAATAATAATAATAATGCCACAAGACAGAGAAATGACTGATTATTTTAACGCAAAAATTTAAAACGAAATTGTATGAATATATCTGCGCAGAGGACACTTGAAAAGAGAAACGTAATTTTTCTAATAGTACATTACAAGTGTGCTAAACTAAATATATTGTAGTCGTCAGAGACAAAATTTTAATTGCTCGAAAATAGTATGCGCCTTATTTTAAGGTTTAAGCTTCAGTTTACGCAAGTTCAGACTGTAAAATAACAAGTAATAATTGTTAGACATTTTCATGACGGTCGTCTTCGTGTATAGAATCCAGAGGTTGACAGTGAATATTTCGGAGACAGTAGGAAAGCGTAGTGCAGGTTCGCAGTGGATATCGCAGCAAAGTAGCAGAGCGTAGTTCTTCCGTCTGTCATGTTCGCCGGACAAGTTGCCTCTGGTCCTTCCGGGTAGGAAAACAAAGATGGCCGCCTTTATACACGACGGATCCAGTGTTCTGCGGCTTCTGATTGGTCAACCTTCTATTGGTCGACTATAAAGGGAAATAAGTCATTTTGACTCGTTCACTAGTTATATGTAATATACACAAAAAACCGTAACAATAATACACATATGTCTTATTTAACATTGCACATTTTTTCTCATTATTATAAAAACTACTACGAAAGTTGGTTCACTGCGCCATGTCAATTAATTTATGTCACTTGAATCCGGTTTAGTCCATTATAATTCTGATAGATTGCTTTTTTACGGTTTTTCAATATTTTGAAGGTTTAAATCAGCCAGAAAATATTTTTGGATTCTAATAATTTTTAGGAGTATAATAATGATTTACAGATATAAGTTTTACTAATTAACGCATAGCTAAAAGGAGAAGTGCTGGATTCATATCTTTCCCAAGGGTATTTGTACCTAAGTGACTATAACGAACGCCACTGGAGTTCGAACTTGCCTTTCCGATCACCAATTCCGAGCCGTTATCCATTACACCACCTGCACATCCAAGCTTACAGCACCTGGCATTCCCAAGCGGTCACCCATCTAAATAATGACCAGGCTCGGTGTTGCTTAACTTTGGTGATCGTACTGGAACCGATGTTTTAACGCGATTTAGCCGTAAGCCTTTTATGAGTCTACTATTCTTTCGTGCATTGAATACTGAAACCGCATTTGGTCTGGTGCTTCTGATATGTACCTAGAGACAATTGACAAAATCCAATGAAGAATCAGTCCGGACCTTGAATTTCACCTGAAATCACTTTCCCAACGTTACAGAGTCGATTCCCTGTACTTTTACAATAAATATTTCCATATATTTCTGTTCTCAGGAGTTTTACTCTTTAGTACTTCGTCTTCATAAATTCAAGCGCAGTACTAGACTGGCAGATAGGTCTCACCATTTTACTGTTGCAAGCGTAAATTTTAATGATTCTCTAGGACTTCTCACCTGTGGAACTCTGTTTTTCTAGATTCCTGTTTTCCTGTCGACTACGAACTTCAAAAATCTAAATGCAACGTCAATTGTCTTTTGTCTCCCGAAATCTTGTTGTTTTCTGGTCCTTTCTTCTCAGTAATGTTTTCTAAGTTTGTTTAACTCTCAGTAACCCCCATCGCATCTTACCGACTTCATCGGGGGGGAAATAATTGAAACAAAATTCAATATTTTATTATAGGATTACAAAAACTTATTCATCATCAGCATGTTAGGCATTCCATGAAACGCTGCCTCCATCCATTCTTGTCAGTAATTGACATTTGGAAGTTCGTCCAGTCTGCATAACGTGCCTTCAATCAGATGGTCAATGTACATCTTCTTTGGACGACCTTCTTTTCTTTTCCCACGGGATTGTATCCAGAGTAGAACGTCTCCAGCTACTTATTCTTTGCTTCGTCGACAGTGACCAGCAAATCTTAGTCTTTCTTGGTGCATTTATTTTCTGATGTGTGATGTTGCCATAGACCTCTTTCTTTTTTCGGTGAACATTCCAGGATCTTTCCTATTAGTTCATAAGAAACAATCCACATGCATAAAACACAATATATATATATATATGTAGTTGTTTTTCTGTTTTCTTTTTGAATTTGTAGGTCTGATGAATTGGATCGTATTTACGATTCCAATGGAATAAATTATGACCTTGGAATATTAGTGTTCAAGCTTTTTTATTATATACATATATATATATATATATATATATATATGTGTGTGTGTGTGTGTGTGTGTGTGTGTGTGTGTGTTTGTGTGTGTATTTATGCAGCAATCCTTCTTTCATGTACATTTCATTGAGTACAACAAACAAGGTGCTTTTCTTTTCCACGGATTGTATCCAGGGTAGAACGTCTCCAGCTAGTTCTTCTTTGCTACACCAACAGTGACCAGCAAATCTTAGTCTTTCTTGGCGTATTTATTTCTTAATGGGAGTTATGTTGCTATAGAGCTCTTTCTTTGTTGGGTAAACTTTCCAAGATTTGTTTAGTGCTGTTCGAAGCATTCCAGTTTGGTTGTTAGTGTTCAGGTTAAGTAACCACATACAAGGACGGCTCCTACTGTAGCGCTCTGAAAAAGGGCCTCTTCAAGTTCTCCGATAGACTTGATTTCCAGAATTTTTTTTTTACTTCATTAAGTGGCTAAGGCTTTTCCAAGTGTGATGTTGACATCATTCTCAATGGAAGTAATCAAAACCCTATAGACAGATGGACAAAGAGTGCCTGCTTCCGTTTCTTAAAAAGAGCAACCTTGGTCTCACAAAGAACTATCGTTCAAAAGTTTCAGGCCACCCAAGGTAATTTTTGCTGTCGGTCGCCAGCTTCAAAATGTTCCCGCAGCGAAGATATGCATTCCGTGAGACGATAGTGCCACTGCTGGAAGCTTTCTTGGAATTTGATTTCTGGAATACTTTTCAGTAATGTGATCATCTATTTCGTTTTGTTCTTGATGCAAGCAAAAAATATTCTTCCAAGATATTTTTGAAAATAACAAACAAAAAAAAATAATATGGGAGATCATCATCATCAGGTTGAGTAATTTCGGCATTCGATGACACGCTGCATCCATCCTTCGTTTCGTTCACTGCATATGGAAGCTCGTCCAGTCGGCATTCCATGTCTTCAATCAGATGGTCAATGTACATCTTCTTTGGTCGACCTTCTCTTCTTTATCTACGGGATTGTACCCAGAGTAGAACGTCTCCAGCTAGTTCTTCTTTGCTACGCCAACAGTGACCAGGAAATCTTAGTCTTTGTTGGCGTATTAATTTCCTGATGGGAGGTATGTTGCCATATATCTCTTTCTTTTCTAGGTGAACATTCCAGGATTTTTCCTATTAGTTGATAAGAAACAATCCACATGCATAAAACACAATATATATATATATGTGTGTGTGTGTGTGTGTGTGTGTGTGTGTGTGTGTGTGTGTGTGTGTGTGTGTGTGTGTGTGTGCGCGTGTATTTAGGCAGCAATCCTTCTCTCATGCACAATTCATTGAATACATCAGACAAGGTGCTTTGATTTAGTTTTTTATACAATTTCTCAAGTGATCTAATATTTTTTCTTGATAAATTATATAAAAGTATATCCGATTGTTCTTTTTATCCGAACGCTTTCGGCTATACATTTAGCCATTTTCAAGGATGAAATTTATTAACTGTTAACTAGAATTAGTTTGTTGTATGTATGTATTTATATAATATTTTCATTTTCAAAACACGGTCAAGATATTGTGCCTATGTTCATAGTTGATACGTATATATGTGACGAAATGTAAGTAAAAAATTATCCGCACATTCGCCATAACATATCTATGTTATGAGTGCTGACAACATTTGACTCTCAGCGTATATGTGTGCGCATGCGCGTGTTTGCAACAATTTTCTAAGGCACAAATTGTCATCATTTTATTTTGGTGGCGTAGAAATATATATGAGTGCGTGTGTACTTACATGTGATTAACTGTGAGTGCCTGTGTGTGCATGTGGTGGTTTAAATGTGTACTATTCTCCCTTGCTCGCTTGTTCACATTAATTTTTTATAACCATGTCTGCCTGAAATAAGTAAGCTGATAACATTTTCATTTTTCCATTAACAGGTCACTCGCAATAACACAAACTATTCAAATGACAAAACTGTATTTTCATTCGCATATTTTAAAATACTCCAAAAAGAAAGTTAGAGAATGTTTCTTTTGTCTTGTTTTCCCGCCTTTTTCTTCATTTACTTTTCTAGAATTTATGTTTTTGTTCGAGAGTAGTGACGTCGTAAAGAACACCTAATGTGTTGAACATCAATTACAGCGAAAACAAAAATATGGAAGGCAAGATCTAAATGGTAAAAGCAGTTCCTTAAAATATCCTTAATGCTCGTCCCCCAGAGATTTTGGTAAGACATTGTCACTTTGGCACGCCATGCGGGTCACATTCTTACTAATTCAATGAGTAATCTTAATCCTCGGAGTTATCCGTATTGAAAGCTATGATTAATGTAATTTTGCCTTTGGTTAAATGAAATTGTTTATATCTATCTATCTATCTATCTATCTATCTATATATATATATATATATATATATATATATATATGTGTGTGTGTGTGTGTGTGTGTGTGTGTGTGTGTGTGTCTGTGTGTGTGTGTGTGCACACGGGTGTCTGTACACGTGCGACTGTACACGTGTGTATGCGTGGCCTGTGTACGTTCCTAGAATTTATATATATCTATCCATATGTTGTATGTTTGTATAAATTTGTAGAATTATATATAGGTATAATTGTAAACATTTAACACATACACACACAAAGCACGCGGACACGCAAACACACAGAGGCATATATATATATATATATATATATATATATATATATATATATATATATATATATATATATATATATATTCCGTTCCGTGATATATTATGCAGCAGATGTGGACTCTCTCAGAGGCACAAATTATATATATATATATATATAGATATAGATAGATAGATAGATAGATAAATAGATAGATAGATAGAGAGAGAGAGAGAGAGGTGAGAGGTGTACTTATAAACATTTAACCCTCACATGCGCGCACACACACACACACACATATATGTATGTATGTATGTATGGGTGCACGCTCACCAACGCACAGGAAAAATTTAGTAGAAAACTTACACCAAAGTTAAATGTACATAAAAGGAAAAAATCAAGAAAATATGAGCAGAAAAACTCTGATACCCCCTGAAAATTAGACGGACAGTGCCATCTACGAAACTCTGGAGTGGGGATATTGAAGGTAACATCAATCAGGTAAGAGACAAAATTAAGTCACATTAAAACTCTCTCTCTATCTCTCTTTCTCTGTATATATCTATCTATCTATCTATCTATATATCTATCTATCTATCTATCTATCTATCTATCTATCTATCTCTCTCTATATATATATATATATATGTGTGTGTGTGTGTGTGTGTGTGTGTGTGTGTGTGTGTGTTTGTGTGGCTGTTGAGAAGTTCTCGGTCATACCCACTTGTTAATACATATCTCTAGATAGATAGAAGTCAAAATGAAAACTTCTCTTTGGCAACGCGTTTCATCTCCGTAGGAACTTTATCAAGTTAAATATATATATATATATATATATATATATATATATATATGTGTGTGTGTGTGTGTGTGTGTGTGTGTGTGTGTGTATGTATATATATATAATATAAAACTGATGATGCAAGAACGCTTTTAACACATTTAAACTTTCGTATAATTACATTTGTTAACAATGTACTTAATTTTTAATTATGCAAATTAATCCCCACTCCCCACCCCCAAATATTCAAAATTTTTCTTTATTTTTTTCATTAACCTGAACTATTTTCCTGGTTTCCGGTGAAAGTTTAAATATGAATGGTCCACTATTTTCGGCTTTAATGAGCGCAATGATTTTTCTAGTTCATTATGTCAGTTTCCGCTTTTGAAATACGCATTTTCCCGTACATTCTCGTTTTTGTTTTTAAAGTAAAACTCTATACACGTGGGTGTTGCCTAATTTTTCATAGCTTAATCATGCATGGTTTCTTATATTCGATTATTTGATCACATTTTGGCGGCTTGATAAATATTCAGCACCCTCTCGTATTACATCGTGAT